GCTGGACTAATTTATTATTATTCCCTTTGGTTCCGAGTGGAACATAGGACTTCAACAACATATCTGAACTTTTTCCTGTTCTCTGCAGTCCTGTTTTATTGGCTCCACGATTGCCTAAAGACTGTCATCTCCTACTATCATATTCTCCTCCTGACTCGTCGTTTCCCATCCGAGTTTCACCCGACGGTTTCCTTAAAGTGTGTTGGATCCATTTCCGTTTCCTTAGGAATGTTTGTTGAGAAAGTCTACAGTAGCCTGTTAGAAGTGCTTTCCGTGACGCAAACGCCAAGTTTCTGACCCATATAGAAGAACTAACTGACTTAATATTTGTGTTGGAAATCCGAATTTCGTTCTTTATAGTGACTGTGTACAGAAGATTTCCAGACTGATGAATGTTTGCCTTACCTTTTTGATCCTGGTTGTGATATCCTCGCCCATGCTGTCACCTTTGGTTGAAACGATGTTTCCCACACAGGTAAAAGAAGTGATCTATTTCAAATACCTCCAGTCGATAGCGATGGGCGCTTCTTGTTGTTGTTGTTGTTCGTTAGGTATCTTCATCATCTCCGTCTTCTCCATGTTCATTTGAAGTCGTGTCTTCACTGGTAGTGTCTTCTGCCAGTTTGTTGGTTTTCGCCTGTAAGTCTTCGAGTCTAAATGACATTAGACATGAATCGTCCGCGACGACCAGATATTCTAGAGTCTTCTTACAGGCTCGATAATGAAAATCAAATGGCCTTTTAGAAAGAATAAGCAACAAGAAACCCTAAGAAGGATTCAATAGATATGCAAAAAGAAATGAAGATGCACTGTGCATACGTTCAGGAGACCGTTGAGTGACACTACACACAAACCAGGTCCTCGAGTGGAAACCAAATGAGAAACGAGTTGGAGTAGGGGTCCAAGAGCAACATGGAGGAGATCCTATGAGAAGGAAATGAAAGTTTACAGGCAATCTTGAAGTCAACTAGAAGTAATGGAAGACAGCAGGGCAAAATGATGATTCGCTACTGAAGCCCTATGTTCCACTCGCAACTCAAAGGAAGTAATTAGGGAAGTTAGTCAGGTGAAATTTGAACCATATACCTAATATGATCGAAAGTAAACTGAATCAGCCGAAACAAACAAAACACAGTATGTATTCCGGTAATCACAAATATATTCACCCAATCGCCTGTAACGTATGCCTACAGTGCAATGTTGAATAGTAACACACACACACACATACATATCTGTTATGTACTCGTCGACAAATTATTTGTTATGGACTGGTCGAGAAACTAATAGTCCTGACGCAAGAAGGCGGAAATCAGAAGACCACTAGGTTTGCGATGATACTTCTATTGTCTAAACACAAGGAGACACAATAAGTGGTCTCACACCAAAGTGGTAAGTAAGTAAAGTAAAGTAGTTCACACAAATTGTGTGAGCGAAATATATATGACAAGGGTGTGAACAATCATTAGACAGTCTTAACATGAATGGCTAATTATAATGAAGTATCGATCCACATATACATAGCGAAATATAACAGACATGTCAACAACCACCATGTATGGATATATGCCACCAAGCAACGGACTGTCAACAAACACTCATACTATATATATGATATAAGGAGAATACACATTATTAAAGGAGACAAGTTCATACAAGTGAAATGGTCACAGACTAAGAGAGCAAACAGAAAGAGAGACCAACATACACACACATATATATATATATATATATATATATATATGTGGATACATATCAATATCTCAGCTGATGGGAATGTTAACATAGACGAATTGTTGCTGAAATTCAACAACATCCACTCCTCGCTTACCTTTACTTGTGAAGAGGAGCAGGAGAATAAACTACATTTCCTGGATGCCTTCCTAAGTAGGAGAGAAGATGGGTCACTTGGAAGAAGCGTGTATAGAAAAAGCACATTCACAGGGCAATACACACACTTCCTTAGTTACGTGCCCATTAAATAATAAAGGAATGTTGTTAAATATCTTGCGAACAAAGCAAGAAAGATATGTACGGATGACCTCTCACAAAAGGAATTCGAATATATTCCCGATTCCTTGACGGAGATGGGCTATCCGAGTAGTTTCATAAAGAAACATATGAAAACATCAGAGAAAAAACCTGAGACTCTGACTGCACATAAGAAACCTCTATTTATTCAGTTACAATTTAATGGTGAGTTATCAAATGAGATTTTATTCCAAAGACTTTCAAGGAGTATAAGAAGAACATTTTACTCAGCACAACTATGTTTGTCATTCTCTAACCGACGAATGATTGGGACGCAAACGAAGGATAAGCTTGATAGTTTTGCCACATCTATGTGTATTTATCAATTCAACTGCACCTGCGGTGACAGTTGTATTGGGCGTACTACTAGACAGCTTAGCCAACGTGTTGGTGAACATCTCCCATCGTGGTTTGGTAAAGGACAGATGAAAACAATCCGTAGCTCCATTTTATCACATTTAATTGATAGTGGTCATGTAGTGATGAAAACGAGAGCTTTCAAAGTAATTCATCGTATCCCACCGAATCTTTTAAATAGACTTCGTATTCGTCTACTGCACACAGTGGAGGAGATAGGCATTCGAACTATTAAACCTAAACTATGCATTCAAAAGAAGTTCGTACAGCCATTATCCCTCCCTCGTTGGCCTATTAAGACATAACCAACTAATGACTTCTACACCACCCCTTGTTTATATTTTCAACCCCTTTCTTATCATCCCTTAATCTTATCACATCTTCATCATAAACGTGCTTCATTTCCTTCACATACATAAATGCAGAAATTCAGGAGTGAATAGGACGCTATTCAAACCTGATGAATCCATCTTACTGACAATTATGGGTAGACATATAAAGTTAAAACGACCGATTACTCATCGGCAATGCACACCAATACATCAATGTGAAAGTCAGCAAAATGAAAGACAATGCAAAAGTCATGATTTGTGAAAGCTTCAAGAATAAAGTGAATGTGAATGCGTCAGTGGCACAGTGGTTAGGACTCTCGCCGACCATGCACATGGTCCGGGGTTCGAGTCCACGCCGGCGCACACATGATATCTATGTTCGGCCTGCAAAATTTGGGCTACCGATATCCATGCTGAAAATTCCACACTTGTACCAAAAATACAGTGTGGAATCGAGCTGTAAATCAAAAACAAAAAAAATAATTGTTTGCGAAACTCCCTCCCAAATGATCGAATTACACTACTGACAGTTATTTAGGTGTTTCAACCAACTTTGTGATTACTAAACATTTTCACCTAGACTGTATATCATTGTTCTGATATTTGCAGATCATATATTGACTTGATCTTTATTATTTGTCTTTGTTCCTGTTTATTCTCTTATTTCAATGCTTTTATTTGTGACTGTGTGAGAGTGTTGATGATGTGTTATCTTTCAACTGCGATTTTGTGCGAGTGAATCAAGGTGATTCTAACCTTAGACTATCCGCGAAAATCGTCGGTGTGTGATTCCTGTGGAGAGAATGTTGATCCCACCTTTTTGGAAATATTCTTCTTCATTCTAGGGTGCTTCTTACAGTTGAATTTCGGTTAACTGATTTTCTCCTACAGTACTTGTTTTCTGCTTAAAAAATTATTTCAACTGCACTGGTGAGGTAATTTTGAGCTTTTTATGTCATTATTGTTGAATATGATCATAGATCTAACCATGAATAACTGCCTTTTTGCTTTGTCTGAGGCATTTTGTGACTGTGCATGTCTTGTAGGACGCAGAGATTCATTTCATGCATTCAGGCAACAACTGGTCCGTTTTGGTCGTTACAGTGAAAACAAGACAGAAGAGATGTCATTTTTAGTGCCTGGTATCTAAAGGGTATTCTAACGAGATCGATTAAAACGAGATTAAAATGTTATCTTGGTTGATATTGACTAGTAGTGGAATCAGGGGTACTACTAATTTCGTCCAATTTCAGACTCGTCAATTAAATGTACCTGACTAATCACTGACACACGACGCTCCCACTGATACTTGAAGTCTGCATCCATAGTTTCAAACGCGAAAGAATTATCTACTAGGCCCTAGTTGCCTAAATCCAGATGATAAGTCCCAAGTAGGATGAAGTGCACATTGTGGATTCAACTGTTAGTCACCATGAACCGAGATAAGACCATGTTAATTCTTAGACATCGTCGAAGCGTCCGTACTAGGAGCTGACATGACAGCAGGGACCGCGCATTTCGGTCAAGCATAATCAATGGTGAACGTTAAATGCAAATTAACTGAAAATATGAACAATGAGATTCGAATTTTGAAAAGACTTCGATTTGAAGAAAAAAAGGAATCTTTAACTAGACACTAGGTGCAATAAGTGACTAGTGTCAAGCGTCTGGTCCTTTTTGGCGCAGAGTGAATTCTACTAGTCAAGTTTCTAATGCGGCCACCATGCCACCAGGTGGATCGCCATCATAGTGCACTCTATATTGTTGTTACTTGTAGGCAATAGGCAGGAAGACTTGAACACACCTAGGTTTCGTGCTAGTTAGCACTCGTCAGCAAGGCGTATCTGTGCCAAACGTATGACTAGACTCATGACACTATCTAGCGTCCAATGAAAGTATCCATTACATTCCTGTAGGAGGTCAGTCGTGAGCCCGAATGGTTCGGTAGTAACATCTCTCACACACGTGCGAATCTCATAAGGGATATGCTGTCCGTCAAGACTGAAGATACATCTTGTTGATGAGGACCACCGAGTGTAAAAGTTAGGTCAAAGGCTTCCTTCCCATTGCCTCCAAGCATTTAATAACAAAAACAGAAACTACTTAGTTCACGTTTAATTCTAGTTTAAGGTGGGTTATATGTTTTACAAAGCTTCACTTTTAACACTGTTAATAATGCATACGAATAAGCAAAAAAAGAAATGTAATTTTAAACTTCTTTTTAAATATATCAATCAATAAATCAATAAATATATAGGTAGCTATATATGTATATATACATACCGCATCTAAATCGACGTGTTTTTGAGCTAACTGTTGACGTAATGCTCGAATTTGTATCTTTTGTCGATCTATAATTTCTTTCAAACGTATCATAAGCTGTATCTCCTCAACACTTGTTGAATCTAAATATTTTTTTTCAGAAAAACAAAGACCATAAATGCATATGAGACATCATAAAACCAAATGAAAAAGAAATTTAAAAACTGAAGAAAAAATCTTTTAGGTTAAAAGTGAATCGAGGGAAAGGAAATGGAAACAAACAATTTCGTTATTTGGGAAAGGTGAAATTTCCCAAGAATTTCCCTTTAGAAATTCAAAGTATTTAGATCACGATACATATATGTGGTCTGCTTACTACCCATAAATGGAGATCAAGAAATTCAGTATAATCGCCTGACAACATATACTACTGAATAGTTGGTGTAAGTAGTAGTTGAATACCACTCACACATCAAACAGCAAAGCGTGATAGTCAGATCAAGTTTATATAAATACCGGATGGTCATTTGGCTCATTTGAACACAGAGGTCATTAGTAGTGTACTTGATTATGGGTAAGATTTTATTTTGATAAATCACACAGTGTTGTAAAGTTACAATAACCGATGACTTTCTGAGCACAAACTATTGCTTATAATCATATCAAGTTACTGACATAACTTTGTTCTTTCATTTATATACATGTGTAGAATCGATTAGATATTGGAATAAAAATCAATGTGAGATAATGTACATTCAGAAATAATAATATGAGTGTTATTGATCAATTGCAATCAGATGGGAAGAAAGACGAGTGTTTTTATGGTCATAATAAGTAACTTGTTAGAATGTTGTGATTTGCTTGAATTGAAATAGAATTTTGAGATTATTTATTATCCTCCCCTGATTTGACCGGCGCTGATAATATCTTCCATATTTATGGTGTTTGCATTGAGTCATTCCTACTGCATGTATTGGGTTTAGACTCGATGAACAAGGATTCAGTAATCAGTCTCTCTCTCTCCACCTACATAGATTACTTTGAATTTTAACCCTCTCTCACTCTATTGTGTGGTTGTGTGTTAATGCATGCAGTGCAATTGCTGACCATTTTCCTACATTACTTATCTTTTCCGGGTCGACCATTCTTCCCTTAGCTAAATTCTTATGTTCTGATAATCTGACTATCCCTGACCTACTAGTTTGACCTATGTAGTTGATCTCACAGTCATTGCAGGGTAATTTGTGAATTATATTATTTTGTTTAATTGGGTCCACCGGGTCTTTTAGCCTACAGAGCTTGTCTCTGAGTGAGTTAGTAGGTTTGAATGCCACCCTAATTCCTGCTTTATTGAGAATCCTATGTAGGGGCCTCAGATGTCCCTTCCTTATATGGTATAACAGTAGATGACTTATATTCTTTCTTATTTGTGTTATCATTAATAGTTTCACCATTATTTTTAATTTGCTTTTGGTCTTTACTGATCAAAATAAAATCTTATCCATAATGGAGTTATACTCTACCACAGTGCCCAAGTTTTATACTTATATCAGTAGTGTACTTGGTTTGAATCAACTCGAAAAGAGGCGAATCAGTTCAACTTCACTCGAATTTTGATCAGCTAGTTATTCAAACTAGTTATATACACAGAATCAAATAAACATCAAAAACAGTAATACAATCAATAAAAAGTTTTCTGATTTAGATTGGTACTGAGAAAGAAAATTAACACTTCAATGAAAAAAACAACTATCAAACAAATATTTTAACCTTAAAAACAAATAAAGCGAAAATCCCAGTTTTAACAATGACAAGACAGTTAGCGAATCAATCTACATTGTATATGTGTATACACTTCTTAAATAACTGTACAGCTTTGAAGTGAATTCACAAAAAAGAGATCTCTTTGCTGACTCAATTGTTCTTAGCCACCTGAAGAAGCCAAGTCTGTGTGGTTAGAAGGAATTCATGTAGTCACTTTCCTTACCTTGGCGATTATTATTTTATTATAAAATAAAATGACAATTTCCCCTCTCCCGCTATATATTATTTGCCAGTTATTATTGTTTTAACTATTTTATTATTCTACCTATTTCATTTACCCCTCATCTACTCTCGTCTTTAGAAGTTAATTGGTGGATGGTGACTAGCGGTGGAATCCAGGATGACGCACATTTCGTCCTATTTGGGACTCGTCATCTTAATGTACCTGCATTCCGCAGTGAGTGATGATGTTCCCACCGAAGCTCGGACCCAATGCACCTAGTTTCAAACGCCAAAGCCTTATTCACTAGACCACTTGGGCCACCTGTTGTGCAACGAGTCATATTATTTATTTAATTCAATTTTAGATTATCCCGTGGATTGATTGGACCGAAGTACTCGGTCTCAGGCTGACATGTCGGCTTCTTGTACAGATGCTTCGATGATATCTGGGCATTGAATAAGAAGTTAATTGGTTAATTGGATTACACTGCTAATCACCATCCACCAATTAACTTTTAATTACACACCCAGACACCGTCGAAGCATCTGCACAAGAAGCCGACATGACAACCTGAGACCGAGCACTTCGGTCCAATCAATCCACGGGATAATCTAAAGCTGAATTAAATACTCTTATCTTTACCTAAAAAATTATACATCATGTAACCCAGATGTTTAATTTCGACAAATATTTCCACCCTTGAATTGTCATATTAATTTTCTTAGCTAATTATCACCCCTTGCCTAATTTGACACGTTCAAATCAACTAATTATTTCGTTAACAAATTCATCGTCATCACGTATCTAACTCCACATACCTGAATATTAGCTTAGAATCAAACCACCTGTAACCAATCAAATCTCTGCAAGGCAATACACTTGGTTATTAACAAAATCAATCCTTAGAGAGAGAGAGAGAGTTCTCATTACAAGACAAACTCAGTAGGAAAGCCAATAAAAACTAGAATGTTGCATTAGATATTCACTGTTCGTTTGCTTTTTTTCACTGTAAAATGACAGATAAATAGGTGAATAAGTCAATTATTCTTATAAACCACTTACTGGTATTCAATACAAATCATATGTATCCTGGAAAATGTTGTTGATATAACACAAAGCGGACTGACACCACCAAGATGAAATGTTCATAAAGAGATTACGTATTACGTTCTAACAATGTTAATATTGATATTTAGTAAAGGCATAGTTAACTTTGTCTGTTATTATCATATTAATATTATTTCTTTAGGTTCCAAGTGGAACATAAGGTATATAGTAGCACACATCTCCGCCTTCATCACCTCTTCATACTATGTATTCCATGTCACCTTTAACACACACTGCTAAACAAATTATTTCTCATTCGGGTTCCACTAGAGGACTGACCTTGTGCGTGATGCTCCTGAACGATCTCCCCAGCATGTGTTTAATTCTTTCCATTTTCTACAGCATGTTTATTGGGTGATAGTTGCGTGGTGGGTTCGCTGACAGACAGCCAGGTTACTGACTTATCCTTCTTAACCTGTCATCAGATCTTCAGTAGAGAGCGAATGCAGCTGCTGATAAAAGTCTGAAGCATGTAGGACATTTTTTTTGCGACCCCCCAAATCTCTGAATCACATAAAAGACCTGACTTGACATGAATGCTGAAAATCTGGATCTTGTTCCTTATTTTGAGTGCAGTATACTTCCAAAATGATTTCAGATTAATGAAGGTCTAGCTTGCTTCTCCGTTTCTAACTGGCTTTGACATAGTCATTCGTGCCGTGTGTAGTTGAAAAGATGTACAGTAGAATTCGATAATTATAACCAAAATGTTAATACCTGCCTTCCTGATGTGGTGACTAAGCCCATACACGGCAATGATCCAACCAATTCAACTAGCTAGAAAGATTGTTCCTGAAGGTACACTCTCATATCCCAGAGATCACCTGAATAGAATTAAGACTAAAAGTAGTTGACGACAGAGTGTGAGTGGCTATAATAAAATTAGGGATCACCGGATAAAGTCTCAATGTATTGAACTTCAACAGTTAGGGTTTTCATTTAAAACGACATAAAATCCATCTGTACGTCATTCACTAATGACCAACGGACTAATGTTCAGTTTTTAGGTTTTCGCCATTATAAATGTACAAGAAATTCTCAAATTCAAAGAGGAGAGAAGAAACCAGATATTATGTGGTCTAAAGTAATGGAAAATTTACAAATTCATGGGACCAAACAACGTAAGAAGATAAGTATATGGTGAGCAGCCTACAGTAGTAAAATCACGACAAATCGATACATATTAACCTAATTAAAAAGATGAAGACGACCAATTGCAAGACGATAAGCTGTGAGAGTTAGTTCAGATGCACATTACAACCATTTAGAACACGGATGTGTTTAACATTCAGGTGACGAAAGTCACTCAACACAAAGAACAGTTTTAGAATGTGGATTTCACAGAGATTTGGGTTAATTTCAAGGTATATCTCGTCACGAACTGACATCAGTCAAAGAATTATTGAAAACTAAGGAACATTAAACAGCTGTTTCGTCTTAGTCTGGGAGTCTTCATCAGTTCACACCCACGATCCCACCAGGGATCGAACCCAGGGCCTTCAGATTATTAGACTAAGTTCATTGACCACTCAAACGCAAGTCACTGGATTTCTGCCCAAGTGGGTGGATGGTCAACGAGCTTAGTCTCATAATCCAAAGGTTCCGAGTACGTTTCCTGGTGGGATTTCAGGTGCGCACTGATCAAGACTCCCAAACTCGAACGAGTGACATAAAGACAATAACCTAAGAAGTAGGATTTTTTAGAATTCAGTCCCCTGAAACGAATTTTTCCATCTATCACTCTATGAAACACACTTGTTTTGAAAGGGTTAATAATCCTGGCCAGCTGAATCTAAGATCTAATGACTAAAAGTCGATTGCTGAGGTAAGTAAGCCCTAATATCCTAGCCTAACACGCAAGATAGTTTGACTTAGAAGCTCAAGAAAATTGCCATCCTTTGCCAAATTCGAATTAAAACTTCTTTAGTACGGCTTTACAGGAATTTGATTGACTCCTTGATTAGTCACCAACTGACTTCAGTTACAGACCCAGCAAAACTACGGAGTGGTAGAAAGCTGTTTTGTCCTGCTGTGGGACTCTTCATCAGT